TGGGAAGCATTTTGGTATTTTATGACCCCTTCCACTGACCTATATAATTACTGTGCTGCTGGCTAACACAGCAACATAAAACCTCTGTGAACATCTCCATTATGAAGTCTATTTCAATTCTAAATGACCTTTCTTTCTATTTGTTACAGTGGGTTCAAAAAAGGTTGTTAAATTCTGTTATTCCCTCCAATGCTATGAAAGAGAAAAAAAATCTGTAAACTTTATTAGGTAATCAATTTCTAAGCCACCTACAATGTAGTATAGAAAACAGAGCCAACTTATATTTGGCAAGAACAATTCACATCAAACCAATCTAATTTCCTTCTCGGACAGGGACAATGGCTGAATGGATAAAGAGTAGCAGTAGATGTGACATTTTTATTGTAGTAACATTTTTATATGTGGCATTCTTATAAACAATACTTATAAATCATAGGACTATATTAGAATACATGGATGGTGTCACCCTGGGCTGGAGCAAAACTTACCGAAAAAAATTAGTTTAGGGAATAGCTGTTAATGATATGCCCTCAGATAGCATCTATCAAGCAGAGGTCACCAGAATCTGTCCTGGGACCTAGCCAGTATGTTCGTTTAGGCTTCCAACTTCTAAAAGTGAAATTACGAATGTGCAAATGACACCAAGCTGGAAGGGAATGACAGCAATTTGGAGGTTAGTCCCACTATCATCTTGAGAAACTGGAAGAGTAGTCCAAAAATCAAAAAGCTGAGATTCAGTAATAACAAATGAGAAGTCCTATGCCTGGGAAAATGAAATGAAGTGCACCAGTACAAAATGAGAATAACTCTCTGGGCAGCACTGCATAAAAAATGGGGCTTGCATAACTTCCTAAACTCTTCCGCATACTGACATTGTGAGTTATGCATTTTTTATATAATAGCAATGATAAAGCATACAATTTCTTGTGACATGTCTTTTTCCTCTGAAATTAATTTAACTCATGCTTTTCAGTAAGGAATTTCTTGAAATTTACCTTTAAAGTATCTGAGCTGACTCATTAAATTGACAGGGATTAAAAAATAAAAAATAGTACAAATTTCTAATGGTGGAGAAAATAGGGACCCAAAACCTGACACATCCGTCCAGTGTAGGAAGAATAGGGTGTGCACCTTGAGACAAGAAGTATTTGTAAACCATTTGGTCAACTAGGTTGGCTTCGGAACCGAATAACATGATAGGGACATTTCAAACCCTGATACAGGAACCTGTGTACTCAGAAAAAGTTCATGTTGAAGTCATACAAACTTCAGTTAGCAAATGTTTACCAGCGATGTTGATAGTGACATTTTGCATTAAATTTGCAGGAATATGAATCTGTGGGCAGAAAAGGCAATTGTAATTAGGTACCCCAATTCACGAAAACATTTAATCGCTTGCAGGTACTTAAATGCTTTCCTGAGTAGATGCAAACTATGTTGTTTCCTGAGTTTAGGGATTATAATTTAAGGTAATTGTTGTGATTCCAGGTCTAACTGATAGCAAGTTGGTGTAAGATGAAGGTCTAGAAGTGGGATTTAGATGCTTAAAGAGCTTTGAAAATCTGAACCTAAAAGAAGAAAACATTTTCTTCTTTACTTTAGAAATGCAAAAGTATAAATAGGAGCAGCATGAAAAACTCAGAAAGAGGTCTTATTCTTGAATATGATCCTGTCTGGAAGAAATCAGACTTTGGCTGAAGTAAAATAGTGGCCATACCAAGCCAGTTAAGGTGAATTCTCAGGAGACAAATCTGCAACCTTAAGTGGTTTCTGCAGTATACTCAAATCCCCACCCGTTTTTTTCTACTGCTACCTTGCAGCATTAATTCTTGCCAAACGTAGATCCCGCTTACGTGCTTACAAACTTTTTGTGGTACTTGGAAATGGAGAAAACTGCTCACTGGAGTACCAGCTTAAATACATACGGACTTAAATAACATTACAAGTAATACACTTGCCAATTGACTGAGAAACCTGTGGGATATAGCAGCTGTCCCTCCATCTCTACGCTTTGGCCAACTCATCATCTTTCCCTCAACGTGTACTTCCTAGCACCTCGCCCAAATGATGCCCATGGGTTTTGGACTTCTGCACAACAGGAGAAGACGATTCTCTCTGAGCAGAAGGAGTTTCTGCCATCTGTAGCACAAGTGTAAGCAAGCAAAGTGAGTGGGACAAGCTGTGATGCCAATGGCTGCACAGGGTAGAGATAGCCATGCTAGTGTTAAGCTCTTTCATCACAGTAACACAGAGCTCTGCACTGCTTAACTTGCCTGTTTTCTGCCAGTTTGGGCATCTCTGTGCCACGCTGTGGAATATGTGGAATTATGGAATTCCGTATGCTGCGGAACTGTGGAATATGACCACAGGCATGCAAGTCACAATCATCATTAAGCGGCTCTGCTGTTACACTGTTTAAGCCAAGAGCCGTATTACATGGACAGGGAGATCAAGTGCTTTATGGCTAATATAGAATCAAGACCCATTAAAGGGTCTTGCATGTGGACGCTGGCCTGGTCCTGTGCTAGACATTCCGTGGGGCTAAAAAATTCGTGTAGTTTCCAAATGGTCAGTCTAGCATCATTCCTGAGCTTTACACTCACTTTAAATTAGCATGCAATTTTAAAATAAATACTACAGATTAAGATTATCTTACAAAGAACATATAATCTACATTTTTAAACTCACACTATTTGTTTTGATGTAACCCATGAAAGTTCCTGCTCAGCAAGGCCTAGTTGACATTTCTTATTGTCTTTAACTAGTTCATCTCTACCTGCTTAAAGGTGATTTTTTTTTTTATGCTTCATCATACTTTGGAAAAGCAGTTCTGCAGGACAAGAACTCATCTTAACTCTTTGGTGCTCACGCCAGGGAGAACTTGATAAACTAGACAAGTAGGGTGATCTATCTCAGCACTAAGAGTTGTATCGTTCATCTTGGACATCATGTGCTCTCACAGTGTTTTTAAAATCCTATAGATGTTTAAATAAATGCTTTTATCTTCTGCAACCACAGAGGTATTAATGTACACAATGCTTACAGAAAGACACCGGACAAAACGATTATTTTTAGAATTTCCTCACTTCATAAAACAGTACAATAGCTATGATGCTACAAATAACTCCCTATGAATTCTTCTTATAAGCAAACAGAGGAAGTATAAGTTTAGGAAGAGACAAGCAGCTCAGAATAGACAATATATTAAAATACTAGTTTTAGTACAGTTAGGAAAAAATGTTAAATATTAGCTTTACTTTGGGTCAGTAAAAATATAAACAACACTTCGTTCCATAGGTCAGTTTGAAACTTGGGCAGAATTGCCTGCACTTAGTAACCATCAATGCATCCAAGTTTTGTCTGAGATAAAAAGCAACAAAGGCAGTGATCTATTGAATTTGTGACCAACTTTCTGAGTTTTGGAAACATATTTATTTATGCTATTACAAAAGTGGAGTTTAGTTGGATGATGTATTTTTTGTTTAAGACTCCCACTATATTGTTGTGTGGTTTTAGGAAAGCATTTTAACTTTTCTTTTCTGGAGTATTACATATTCTGTCAGTGAAGAAGTGATAAAGTCACAGCAGAGTTTAAAACTGCTGGCCAGAAGTTGCCCTTGTGTGTTTTTCTCCAATTCGTATGACAAGTTGAACAGCTTTCATGAGAAATGGAGTATCAGCCATCTGATTACAGCTGGCTTTGTATATGTGACTTACTAGCAGGAAATGTCTGAATTGATATTAGTTAGTTAAGGTGAAAAAATAAGTGTGTTGGAAATGGATTCTGAAGGACTGTCAGCAATTTCTTTTGAGGCTTTCTCGCAGTATTACTACGTTGTGTCCTGTTGCTGCGTGTTTGAGGAGTAACTTCAGCTCTCTGTAGATCAAGCATCCCTATTTTGTTCTACCTCCCACCAAATGGGCCTGGTTCTGTTATGGATCCCTACCAAGAAAATGGATAAGTAGCTTCTAATTTCCCTTTGGCTACGTTTTAGAAGATGTATCTGGAGACATTTAATAAGCTACAACCACAAAATACTGTCATTTTATAGGCATTTTTTGACGGACTCAAACTTACCTGTAGTGCTGCAGTTCCGATTCTAGCTGCTGAATGTACGTTTGCAGCTGTGGCACTTCGTTAGCTTTCACTTCTAGCTCCTTCACTTTGCCAAGACTGTTAAGGACGGCCTGTCTTGCCTCTTCAACCTTCTTCCTCATTTCTGCTTGTTCTCTCTTCAGGTTACGGTTGCAGTCTTCCAGATTGACCAGAGCTTCCTGAGAGCTCTTCAGCTCTCTTTCCAGCTCTTGATTGAACCTAATTGCTTCTTCAATTTGCCCATCCCTGGAGCTCCGGATGAGTTCCACTTCCTTCAGGACACTTTGAAGGCACTTGGTCTGGGAGTGGTTCTGGGTTAACTGTCTCTTACTCCCTATAAAACAAGTCCCCTCTTCCTTATGGTTAGCGTGGCTTTTCCGCAGTCCTACCTATAATGAACAGGAGCAGAAAGCAGGGAGAAATTAAGGCATTTTAAAGCAACTGACATGTTAATCAAGACTGAAAATGGCTGGATTGTTTTTTGTTGTTTTTTTTTTTTAATGACATAGTTGATCAGCAACTAATAAGCTACTTACCTTTGCGAAATACAGAGACAAGGAAACAATCTCTGGAAAGTAGTTTTTAAATATGTATCTATAAATTTAATTTTAAAACTACTCATTAAAGTGGAAAATTAGGTTATTGCACAAGTTTCTGCATAGTTTTACTGTCACTACTTTAGCCTTTTCTGAAAAGGCAAGTAGTATTCTGAAGAAAATATTTCCAGTTATGTTTTTCGAGTCGTGTTCAGTAGAAGTGAACAGAGAGCAGCTGGTGGTGTTCTGGACCTCTAATCTTTGTCGTCCTTTGATTCTTTCTGAGGCCTTTGACTGGTGACTTTGTGTTTGCTTCTGACTTCCTTTTGCTTTTCAAATGAAAATGGTAAAAGTGGCTTTCACCTGCCATGCCGGACGCTGAGAAGATGGACAGCCAGCTAATGCCAAATGGAAGTGGCACGCATGGAGCAGAGTTCTGTGAGCATTGTGTTAGTATTAAATCCAACCCGATCGGACCCGCCAGAAGCAGCGGTGAACTCAGCCCTGCAGTGCTTTGCCTGTTCTATGCTATTTCATGCCAGAGTAATTTAACTGCTGTTAGGTATGCATGTGTTTCCCTTGAGCCAATACAGCAGAAACAGAAACCAGCCCCAGAATTAATGGGGCTCTGCAGAGAAGCCAGAAACTATTCATCAGCCTGTTTGCAGAACTGGCTCCAACTCTGAACTCTCATGACCACCCCCTGAAGAAAACACACTTCTGATGTTTCTGATGTTAGAATGTTTCTATATTTATGACTGAGTAATTGCAAGTGCTTATGCAGGTAAGAATCCAAAAGTTCGTTCTTACTTTGGAACACACACACACCCCCCACCAGTGCATAACGGGCATATAACTGCCTGCATATGTGCAATAGAAAAAGCAGCATTATACATTTAGGTCTGTTAAATCGACACCTACAATTTTAGCAGGGTGGTTTTCAGTGCATCCCTTAAATGTATATAATGTCACACTGGTGCAAATACAACATTTCTCCTTAAAGACTCTGTGTGACCAAACTTTGCTAAAAAGTTAATGCCGACGATGAAAGAGCAGGCTCGGTCTATGCCATACTCCTTTCACAAATCAGCCTGGCGCCGGCGAGGTTATTAACACTGGATTTTCCGACGGCAGCATCCTTCCTAGACGACGCTTCACTCAAGACTAACTGAAGCCGCAGCCAGGAGCGGTGGGCAGGCTTGGAAGACCCGTACAGAAGCTGAGGGGC